TAATTGTCAAAAAATGTAATGACTGATAACTGACTGCCAATGGCTAATTACAGTTTAACATAATAACAGATGCCATTTATTGAAGAAATGTTACAAATTCCTTACATGTATTATACCACTCAATTCTTACACAAATTCCATAAATTATTATTCTTGTCTGCATTTTAGAGATGATGAAACTAAGGTTGAGAGGTAAATAACTTACTTAACACATCCAAGAAGTGGTGGAGTTTGAATCAAATTCCAGTTAGTTTGATTGCTTTTAACCATTTGCTAAACTGCCAGTCCTCCCTCACTCTCCAACACACACAGTAGTTCTATTTTTTATGAGTAATATTAAACTGTGAAATACAAGACACCATGAACAGTCAGAGATTTGTATGAGAAGATTCTTTGTGTCAAATAACCCATACTCCATGGGGACCAAACTATTTAGTCTTACTTTTTATAATACATGCTTATTTTTCTTTGCTTTATCTAAAAACATGTCTCTTTTATACAATTTATAAATTGTACATCTTCAATATTTACTTCAGCAATAAGTCTAAGAGGAAAGCTGTGGATACATAAATAACTTCAGTAGACAAAAACACAACAGCTCCTCCAACCCAGGGGTGTCTGTGAGAATTTTTTCTACAGGAGGTACATTATACACTGCTCACAAGACCCACAATGAAAAAGGGCAGGAACAACTGTGAAATTCAATCAAAACCAATCATTCAATTACACCTGCATTTATTGAGACAGGAGAGTGCAATGGTTGCGTTTGCTCCTGCTTTCCCAATCCCATCCTCCTCATAACTATATTCACTTGAGCACTCCTCATAAGCCAAGGATCCCACACCCCCCACTATATCTGGGTTTTGAGATCAAATGTGTCTCCCTATCAAGCAAAACTTACTTCTAGATCTTTGTCTCTAATAGCCTTCCTCACTGAGAAGAACCAATGTTTCTTGGATATATGACTGATTCCAGGCCTGGGAAAGTGTAGGTACAGGATGACTCTAAAATGTTTTATTCTACCAGAATGGGAGTGCTAAAAAAATGATGGGGATATAAAACAGAGACATAAGAACCAGCTTAATGGTGAGGTCACAGGTGAACTTTGCGACCATTTGAATATCAAGATAATTATGCACCTTAAGGAATTATATATACAATTCAATAATATATATATATATATTATTGAAAAAAATTTAAAGTCTTTACTCCATATGGTAGTCAGGAAGGAAAGAAAGAAGGAAAGAAGGAAGGAAACTCTCTTGCTAGCTGTAGAATCCTAAAGTGCTGGCTAATAAATGTAGAGGTAGTGCTAAAGTTGTAAAGTCATTATTTTGGGACCATCAGTGGATGGTAATTGCAGGAAAAAATTGTGATGAGAAGCAAGATATTTGCATAATGTTAAAAAGTCTCCATGTAGTCAGTTTATTAATTGAAAAGGGGAAAATGTAATTTATACAATGGGAAAATTGCACCACACCTGGAGCAAATGATCAAATTAATATGACCAACATGAGACAGATGGTTAGCATGTGCCTCCAGATGTGACACCCTCTGAGAAAGACACAAAATTGCCTGCTTAGAATTCTGGCTAAGAATACATTACTTGGATCTGATCATGAGGAAATATCAGACACACTCAAACTGAGGAAGATTCTGTTTTAAAATGGTTGGAGGGAAGTTACTCCCCAAAACATCAATCTCATTAAAAAAAAAGGCTGTGAAAATATTTCATATTAAAGAAGGCTAATGAGGCATAACAACTAAATGCTACCTGACCCTCAACAGGATCCTGTTCCAGAGAGGAAAAAAATGCTATAAAGGATATTATTAGGTCTATTAAAAAATTGGAATATAAATTCTAGATTAGAATAAAACTTTACATCAATACAGAATTTACTGAAGTCGATAACTGTTCTGTGATTATGTAAGGGAATGTCCCTGTTCTAAGGCAAAACACACCAAAGTGTCCGTGAGTAAAGGATTTGATGTATGTGATCTACCTCAGATGGTTCAGACTGGGAGACAGAGAAAGAAAGAAAGCACGATAAACTGTAAACAGTAAGTGAATCTGTGTAGAGTATGTGTGTATGTATGTGATTCTGTTGTTATACTGTTTTTATTGGTGCAATTTTTCCTTAAGATTAAAATTATTTCTGAATCAACATTTAAAAAAGAGTAAACTATATGTCCCCAGTCAGGAAACACTCTTGTTAAATAGAGTCAATGTTTTATAACATGTTCCTACTAGAACATTAGCTTCATATAACAAATATAAACTAAACAGTGAGTTAGGTGCAGTTTGAAATACCTTAGATATTATTTATGTGTTCAGTTATCAACACTTATTAAACACATATTATGTATCAGATAATGTGCCATGATATGCTTTTCCTTACCCCTTCAAGTTACATGTGAATGAGAATAAATTATTGGAAAGGAATTATCAAACAATTTTTAGTGATAGCAAACTATTTCCTATAAACTTAATGTTCTCAACTCATCTCTGTGCATTAGAAACTCATTTGAAAGCTACTAGCTGAATTGATACAGCTCAAGTCACTTCTTTTTTATTTGAAGCCCAGAGACTTGAAGCTCCCCAACCTTTCTGTGACCAGCCCACATTCCTTAATAACAAAGTTCATGCTTTCTCACTGCTAGAAAATCTGGCTAAAAGACCTGTAGAAACATGGAGGGTTAGCAACAGGGGAGTGGGAGGAGGGGAGAGGGAGGGTAAAGATACAGAGAATAAGTAGCATAGATGGTAGGTAGAAAATAGACAGGGGGAGGGTAAGAATAGTATGGGAAATGTAGAAACCAAAGAACTTGTAAGTATGACACATGGACATAAACTAAAGAGGGGGAATGTGGGTGGGAGAGGGTGTGCAGGGTGGAGGGGAATGAAGGGGTGAAATGGGACAACTGTAATAGCATAATCAATAAAATATATTTTTTTTAAAGAAGACCTGTAGAGTACTTCAGTTCCTTTAAGTGTGGAGCTTCTTTGCATGTCATTAAGTCAGCATTTGGAATCCTGTTAAACCCTGCACAGTTCCCATGGATACCCCAGACCAACCCTCCCAGATGGTGGCTGACAATTTGTGTGTACGCCTTAGTCTCAGCTTGTCTTGTCTGAGGCTCCTGGGTACCATGCATTGCCTTCATGTATGATTGTTGAAAGGCCAGCTTTATATTGTCCACCTTGAAGAAACTCAGCATGCTCTGTTCGTCAGAGTACAATGGAAAGGACTCTTGTATTTTGGCATTTGACAAATCTAGGGACAGATTTAGCTTTGCCCCTTAACAAATGAGCCATGGTACCCAAATTACTCAATACCTCTGATCTTGTTTCCTCCCTTTAAACTGGAAATAATGATGCCTTCTTTCTTAGAGGGTGACTTGAATGATTAAGTGAGATAGTGCTATAGAAATGTTTGGCATAGTGCCTTGCACACAGTGATTATTTGGAAAATGTTAATCATTGATATTACTTTAGTAAAGTAAGCATACTTTTATTTCAGCTGCTGCACCAGGATTCTTCTTTAGAGTGATATTCTCTTTGCTTTACTTTCTTCTCAGGAAGCATAAGATCCAGAGTTAGAGGGTGTAAGGGCACAGGAAAATGAAAGAGACAGGGAAATTCCTTTACATAGTTGAGCAATGGAAGTTAAAAGATAAAACAATCATCACAAGGACAAGAAAACAAAACAAAGCAAGAAGTTAAGGATAAAGAATGAAAGAGAGCGCCTTGGCTGGTGTGGCTCAGTGGAATGAGCACCAGCCTGTGAACCAAGGGGTTGCTGGTTCGATTTCCAATCAAGGCACATATGTGGCTTGTAGGCCAGGTCCCTAGTGGGGGGCACGTAAGAGGCAGCCACACATTGATGTTTCTCTCCTTCTCTTTCTCTCTCCTTTCCCCTCAGTCTAAAAATAAATAAACAAAATCTTTAGCCCTGGCTGGCATAGCTCAGATTTGAGCACGGGCTGCGAACCAAAGTGTTGCAGGTTCGATTCCCAGTCAGGGTACATGCCTGGGTTGCAGGCCATGACCCCCAGCAACCGCGCATTGATGTTTTTCTCTCTCTCTCTCTTTCTCCCTCCCTTCCCTCTCTAAAAATAAATAAATAAAATCTTTAAAGAAAAAAAAAGAATGAAAGAGAGTAAGGTTTTTCTACCTGGTAGGGTGCCAGAGATTTTAGAGGGTGGAGTGTCTAGTGTTAAATTCTGTTTTTGTCTTGTTACAAGTCAGTACCCTATGTTTTTCCAAACCTCCAGTGACTTGAGTTAATGTTCTTGTTTGCTTGTGTTGTTTGTAGGTTTGTGTTCATAATGCAAATTGAGGTGAAGAGGATGGATTTTATGACTGGGACCACCTTGGGCAGAGGAAAATGGACAGGTGCTGAAGGAATGACATATGCAAGACTGAGAGCTTTGCAGGAGAAGTAAAGAGGACCTAAAAGAGACTATGAAATGGCATCTCTGATGAAACAAAGGATCTTAAGGGATAATGGAACAGGGGCTTAACCCCCACATGTGGGTTTTATCCTTATTCAAGTTAGAGGAATGGACTTGCCTCAAAGAATCTAGGGTCCAGAATATTTTAAACTAAATAAAATACTAAAGCTTAGGAAAGTATAATAGATCTCTAGTTCTATATTAATAATTACAAAAACTTCTGAACATGCATTGTATTGTTTGGCACCAACATTCTTTTAGTGGAAAGACCTGACTTTACTTGCCATTAGGCTGCCTATTATCTCTACTGATTGTTACAGTGGATACAGCCACACATTTTGCGAGCGAGTTATTAATGTGTTGGATTATGGTGCACTGCCTAGACTCTGCTTTGTTTATGGGCCAACTATCTATGTATGACATGTCCTTTTACTCAAAATTCTGAATTTTCAAACTCTTCTGCACTTATGGTGTTGGATAAGAGACAGTAAACACAAATTCAGAAAAAATATAAATTTTAAATGAATGAAAAAGGGAGGTATTACCTTCCAGTGTGTTTCTAAAGCTGAAATTGGCGGTTCTATCCATGGAACCCGTTTCATACTGGGTCAGACTCAGGCAAAATTCCACATCAGCTGAGGAGGGGAGCCTCGGGGTCCTGGCTTTGTCATGGTTTCCAGGGTTGCGCAGTAACGGTCCCTCAGAGGTCCCATTGCACAGTACCTGGCGGCTGTTGTACTCCTCCGATCGGCTACAGATGATCTGCACAGAACACCTTGATGTTAAAGTTGTCACCACCTCTAAGTCAAAGTCAAAGGGGAAAGTAGGGAAGTTGAAATTCCTGGTTGCCATATTTTTATCCCGAATCATAAGGAGGTTGATAATTTAAAGGAAGTTGTTGAAGAAAGCAGCTTTCTGTGTGTTGAAGAATAACCCAGAGAAATTAAAATATAGAAAAGAATTGTAGTCCTAAATCTACCACTTAAGAAAATGTGTTAAATTCCCTAAGCCTCAGTTATCAAATAGGGATAACAATGTCTTTGTATAATTGTTGTCAAATATTTATTTGAGGAGAAAACTAACTTGACAGACATGTTAATTACCTGTTGTATGGCTTCACTAGTTTTATGCCCATGAGACAAGGTATGGCCCAGAGTTTAGGTCTGTACCCCTCTTATTTTACCCCTTTCTGTATCTTCTCTGGCTGAACAACCAATTCCATGGCTTACATTATATAATCAGAACTCCCCAATTCCTATCTCTAGTTCAAAGTGACTCCTCTGAGCTCTTAGTCTGTATATTCATCTCTGACTCCATTTTTCAATGATCTCACATGCATCACAAATATAACATTAAAAATCCTAAATCTGTTACTCTATCTACATTTTCTATCTCACCAACCATCCTGCAATTCAAACCAGAAGCCCATGGATTATCATGTTTAAGCCAGACATTGGTATTTAGTGTTTGTGTTTTATTCTCTTTTGTCTTTCACATTGAAACCATTAACCAATATTTTCAATTCTGCCTCCAGAGGATATCTTGAATTTGATAGCCACTCTCCATTTGCTGAAAATTCTGTGATCCTACTGTTAAATTATGATGGGTTACTTTTTTCTGGGCATTGCAGGTGCCCCTTCATCCCACACTTTTTTCCTTCCATAACAACACCCATTCCTTGCCATGCATCTGATATTCTACCCAATCTTCAGGGTTAAGGCATCTTTTGAAAAAAAAAAAAAACACTGTATATTCTGACTTTAAAAAATAATTCAAAAACATTTAACTTTAAATATGAAGTTATAGGCATCTTTCACTGAAATATTCTTTTTGTAGTTTTCCTTATATGTATGTGGAACAGTGAACTATGATAAAAATATTTGACTAAAAAAGACAAAAGTAGCTCTTTCAATAAATATAAAATAAAAATTCTAAGGGGTTAATAATATCACATTATAATTTAATTGACAGACTAATATTTTAGTGGTATATAAATTACTTCTTCATTTTAAAATCATTGATGCCTTAGATTCAATGAGAGCAAGTAACTAGGTAGCAAGATGTCAACACTAAACCAAAACGTAAGTGGAGGAGAACCTGCCCTGCCATCACTGACTATTCACGACAGGCACAGGCTTCCACAGGAGACTTCTGCCCACTCAGTAGATAATATTCTTTGTCAAACTTACACTTTACTCACTTTCTTCTCCTGTGATAAAAAAATTTCTGCATAACTTCCCTTAAAAAACTGTAATCTCCACAAGGGTAACTTTCTTCTTAAATTATTATTATTGTTGATTCTCAGAATCTATGACAGAGGCTCAATAAATATTTGATGAGTGAATAAACAAATTCAGGGATAAACCAATGTATCTTCAACTACAAACATATGCTGAACACACTTTTTTTCCAATCCTTTTATTGGTAAAAACTTCTGCACTAGAAGATATTTGCAGAAATGTATCATTTTTAGTAAATATATATCAGGGCCCTACTGTGTCCCAGACCATGAGGAAGACATCACTGTGTACATTTTTAAAAATTCTCACCTTGTTGGTTTATAAGATCTTATCTTTATTTCAGTGATGAGAAAACTCAGTCCTGGTGTGGAAGAATATGAAAGGCTGCAAGACCTAGAGCCCTCTGTTATGGTTAATAATGTCATAGACAATAGGTAAGACACAAGAATATTTTTCAAGTGAAAAGAATTCCTGGTCAGCTGTTTGCACCACAGTTAAAAATAATCAAGACAATCCTATCAGTCCCCTGCTCTTGTGGGTTTGCAATCTATAGGAATGTCACAGCAAATTAAGTCACCATCAACTGAATAAGCCCTGTGTCCCAGGAATGGCTGCTGCTGTGTTGAATGAGAAACACTTAAAGAAGCTTTTAATTTTTGGTCAGTAAAATAATATTTATGAGTTGAAAAGAATTGGGTCCTAAAATCAAAGTGGATATGGAATTCAGTTCTAGTTCAACTACTTACTAGCAGTGTGTCAATGAGCATGTTATTTAGACTTGTTAAGTCTGTTTCCTCAACTATAATGTGAAATAATAAATGCATCTAACATTATATAATATAAATATGTGATTAATATATTGATAATATAATAAATAATAATTGAAATAATGTAATTCTGACTCAACAAATGACAGCTTCTAGTTTTCTTTATACTTCAACACATTCCACAATCCTTTTATTCACACATAATTGAGAACTAGAAGAGTTAGGTAACTTTTCTAAGGCCATAGGATGTTTAGGGCTAGAGCTAGAAAATTAATATGTACTTCTCTTATTCCAAAGCTATATCAACTACATTTATTAGTGCCTGTAAGTGACTTAAGGATGTCTGAATAAAGCCAATGTAACTTTTGTTTCAGATGTAAAGTGTTGGATTCATTTATAGTGTCGATTAACTAGACACCATGGCAGAAACATAGAGGAGATCATTTTCATTTCTGTTTGAATAATAGAACATCTCATGATATTCTTGGTTAAATTAGAGAGGATTGAATGGAACTATTTTTGCTGAAATGCCACCTGCCAAATGACTAAGTGTTCAGATGACTGGATGTATTAGTAACAAGGAGGAAATCTACCTTGGTTCCAGAAATAATTTGAAAAATTTAACCTCAAATCATTGTCTTTCTATTTGATACAGAGGGGAGTCAGGGTAGGAGAAATTGTTGGCACTAATGTTGTGACCAATCATGTAGATCACTATCAGAAAGACATGGTTCCCAATATTGACTCTTAATTAGCTACATGACCTTGGACGAAATACTTGAGCTCTCTGAGTATCAAGGTTTTTCATTTGTAAATGGAGATTATAACAACTTTCTATGAAAGATAAAATAATCTAACACATGTAAAGCCCTTAGTACATAGTGCCAAGGATAGAGTGTTTAATAATAGCAGCTCTTAAAATTTATTGAATACAAGACCATTGGGCAGGTCACCAAATTTTCTTTAACTCTGATTATATAATACTGGTTGAATATTTATTATTATAGTAACTAACACTGGAATATCATATAAGGACACATTATAATAGTAATTTCTACACATATAACTCAAAGAATATGTAAGGTACTAAACTAATTATTTTATATTAACAGATTTCATCAAATCTCTTCACAATGTTGCTTTACAATATTATTTTAATATTTTTAATATTTTATTGATTATGCTATTACAGTTGTCCTGGTTTTCCTCCCTTTGCCCCCCTCTACCCCATACCCCTTATTCCCTTAGACAACACCCCAATCCTTGTTCATATCCATGAGTCATGTGTCCAAGTTCTTTTGCTACTGTACCTTACATCCTCATGGCTATTCTGTAACTACCTATTTTTACTTCTTAATCCTCTCACATCTTACCCACTCTCCCATGCCCCCCTCCCATCTCTTTATCTTTAACTTTTGCATTTTAATTATGTATCTTGGAGTGGGCCTCTTTGCATCCATCTTGTTTAGGACTCTCTGTGCTTCCTGAACTTGCATGTCTATTTCCTTCACCAGATTAGGGAAGTTTTCTTTCATTATTTTTTTCAAATAAATTTCCAATTTCTTGCTCTATCTCTTAGAGATCTAAGAGATAGAGATCTTAGAGATCTAAGAGAAGAGATAGAGATCTCTTCTCTTTCTGACACCCCTATGATGTGAACATTGGATTGCTTAAAGCTTTTCCATAGGCTGCTTACACTACCCTCAATTTTTTGGATTCTCTGCTGTGATTGGTTGTTTTTTGCTTCCTTATGTTCCAAAACATTGATTTGATACTCAGCTTCATCTGCTCTACTATTATTTCCCTGTAAGTTGTTCTTTATTTCAATTAGTGTAGTCTTCATTTCTGACTGGATCTTTTTTGTGCTGTTAAGGTCCTCATTAACTTCCTTGAGCATCCTTATAATCAATATTTTGAACTCTGCATCTGATAGATTGCTTATATCCATTTCATTTAGCTCTTTTTCTGGGGTTTTGATCTGTTCTTTCCTTTGGGCCATGTTTCTATGTCTCCTCATTTTGGCAGCCTCCCTGTGCTTGTTTCTGTGTATTAGGTAGAGCTGCTTTGACTTTGTGTCTTGGTAGTGTGGCCTAATGTAGTAGGTGTCCTATAGGTCCAGTGTCACAGCCTCCCCTATCACCCAAGCTGAATACTCAAGGTGCACCCTTTGTGGGGGCTGAGTACACCCTCCTCTTGAGCCTTGGTGGCTGTTGGCAGATCAATGGGAGGGATTTACCCAGGCCAGTCAGCTGCAAGAATTGGCTATGACCACTTACCCTCAACCTCCACCCTCTGTGGAGGGTCAGCTGTGCAGGGGAAGAATGGTGGTGCTCCAATGTGGTCTGTAGCTGTTCAATGGGAGCACTGGCCCTAGTGTTTCCCAGGTGGTGCAGGCCAAGATCAGCCCCTACCTGTGTTTTTCTTGAGGCCACCCTGCCTGAGTTATAAAGCAATCTGAGATGGCTGCTACTTGTGCTGGGCTTAGAGATTGCCAAGCAAATGCAAGCTGTGAGTCTAGGCTGCTAGTTCCAGGCCTGGGGCTCATTGAGGCCAGCTGATTCTTATTTGAGAGGATTTAGGAGTTTTGAAGCATGAGCCAATACCAGCCATTCATATGAAAATGAAGCTTGTGTGGGCCTTATAGTGGGTAGGGCAGAGTCTCGGGGGATCTCAAAGGCAGGTCAAACAGTGTTAGCCATGTTGATAGAATCTTAGATATGGCACCAGTCTGCTGGCTCTGTAGAGATAGGCCCCA